TAATTGGGGTTACAAGTAAACCCTAGACCGCAAACCCTGCCTTATGGTCCACGGTACGTGCGATGGCATCCTCGTAAACAATAGAGCCGGAACGATCCTGCCGCACGAAGCACGAAGGAAAACAACAACAGGCTGGGGTCCTACTGTAGACGGCCGAGGAGGAACATCTCACGCCACTCAAAACCCACAAGCAAAATGCGGAAATTCCTGGAATGTAGGGTGATGCTACTTCTGTTTCTGGCAGCAAGAGAAGGGCTTCTTCTCCAAACCTGGATCATGTCCAATACCAAAGTGGGATTGTACCAAAAATGGGGCCGGTAAGAACTCCACAGGATTTATGGTGATGCGTATGAAGGATTTCTTGGAAATGATTGGTTAGACATTCCAATAATACAACTTCGTCCCCTTTTCAAAGGACAGTAGTCTTAGTAGGCCAATTTTGGGCTTCCATGTCAGCTTGGCAGCAGCGTATGTCCCTTCTTTGTTTGAAAGAATACTGACACCCTGTTCATATGCCATGGATGGGGTGACACTTCCTGAGCTGGCTGAGCTGGGGGAAAGAGACCTTCAATGTTTTCTTGTGACCACATCTTCTTTTGGGGTTCCGGTAGGTTGTTGTGGGAGATTATGAAGGTTTCTCTAAAGGATGCAAGCCGGCAGCCCTAGGGAACGTGGAAAGTATATGGGGCTTGCAGGTTTGGGATTTCGACTACCCTGAACCCTGAACCCTAAACCCTATTCTTCAAGCCTTAAGTCCTAGCTCTGAATCATAGACAGGAGTATGCAGGAGTCCGTTCAAAACATTCACCCAAAACCCCAAAGCCCTTTGAACTTCAAAAACATGTCTTCCTTAAGATCCCTGACCGCATCATCCCTTGGAATCTCGGAATGTGGAATGTCAAACCCACAGAGGCAACACTGAAGGGCCACAACTGGGTTTGGGGTTTAAGGTAAACCTAGCCTCCTGAAACTTGAAGCTCCAACTGCACATCTGTAAAAGCCTAAGCCTTCAACCCTACTGTACTAAACCCTAAACCCAAACCTTCA